AGCTCATGGCTTGCAATCTTGGATGGGTTAGACGCCTATTCATCACTGCTCTGCTAACCTTTAATTTGATATATAACTTGAAACCACATTTAAGTCATCAGCAACTCTCCTGGGGCAGAAATGGCTGGATATGTAGATATGGTATCATAAACAAAGGCCAAGGAAAAAGACTATTCACCTGGGTCATTTAGGAAGAATAGGTAGTACTTTTTTTTTTGGGGGGGGGGGGGTTAGGGTCTCACTCTGTCACCGAGGCTGGAGTGCAGTGGCACAACCATGTTTCACTGCAGCCTCAACCTCCTGGGCTCAAGTGATCCTCCTGACTCAGCCTCCCAGAGTGTTGGGATTACAGACGTGAGCCACTGAGCCTGGCCAGGTAGTGTTTTTTATGGAGGTGGACTTGCATGGCTCCTTTGGAAAATCTCTTACCTATGTCTCACTTTATTTACTACTGAATAGGTATGATATACATTTATCTCATGAGCCTACCTTGCTTTTGTATTTTGAAATGTTTATGTGAAAATATTGACTAGGTGATAAGCAATGGATTGTTGCTGTAAATTGTAAGCAAGAATGAAGACTGTAACTCCTAAAACACTCAAGTATGTCTCATGTGTATAAAAATGAGAATATTTTAATAAGTTAAATATACATGTATGAATCAAAGCTAAATGGTCATTAATATCAAGTAAATATCAGTAAACATGGGAGATATAAAATGTATGAGACAGTTCTGGCTCTCAGTGAGTTTACAATCTATAAGAGAAGAAAAGGGGAAAACATAAAAATTAAATAAGATAACAATATAAGAAGTATCAAAAGGCAACCTATTGTAAATTGCCACCTGAAATGAAATTGGCAGAGTCACTCCTATAGGTCAGAGGAAGGAGAGATCATTTTCAGAAGCAGTGGGCAGGGAAGATAGAGTCCAGCCAGATCTCCAAGGCTGAATTCACCGGGAAGGAGGAGGGGGTTTTGGTGGAGGGAACCCAGTGAGGAAGTATAGATGTATAAAAGGAAGGAGTATGGATCCACAAAAGGAAAAAGAATACAGAAACGCAAGTTATGGGGATAAGGAGAGTTCTAGTATGAAATAGGGCTGGAAAGGCCATTTGGAATCGGACCGAGGAGAGCTATAAATGTCAAATTAAAGAGGTAAGATTGCTGAACAGAAAAGCATCTTGGTCGAAACAGCATTTTGGAAATAATCCTTTGGCTATGGTACGCCAGATTAAATGGAGCAGGGAGGACCAGAGGCAGGGAGATCAAATGGAACCCATGCCAACTCCCGGCGTGGGGTGAAGGTGGTGGGATGGGAAAGGAAGAAGTCGAGGCAGGAACTCCGTGGAAGAAGTGCACGACCTCTCAAGTGTGCTGATCAGCCTTCATTGTTGGAGCTTTCTGTCATTTTCCAAAGCATTGTGAAATATACAGGTTTTTAGAACTGACTCACTTTAACAGTTGCAAGTGAAGAATGAAGAAATGAAGGAGTTTTATTCAACTTACAATATCCCATACCTGTAAAAGTTGATATGTTGAACCTTTTCTTCTTGATCTTACCTAAGAACAAAAAGTGTTAGGCTAAAAATAAAGTTAAAAAAAAAAAACACCAATCATAAAATGTAGGAATTAAAGGAGTTCTGAGAACATTTTATTTTTATTAGACAACCAACTCTAGTTGAACATGAACTATTCCAAACTCTTCTGTCAGTAAAATTGAAGGAAATCCCCAAGAATTCTCGAGATCCCTGTGTTGGTACTCCTGGTTTCGAGTGTTTATAATGTAATGTATTATACAGAAATTCAGAGAAACTTGATATATCTCTGAATGAGCAGGGAAAAAAAGTTTCAAGAAAGTTTTCCAACAATTCCAATGTCACGGTGTGTTTATATATATAATGGTGATATGACAAAGTTACTGGCATCTGGCTTCTGCCCTGAACCTCTACGACCAAGTTCTGGCCTTATCGCACACAGAAAAGCAATGCCTTCCACCCTTCGGGGGCATTTAAGGTTGGCACACTCTATTCCGGTAACACCACTTGACAGAAAGATGGCGAGGAAAAGCCTCTTCCCCACATTCCCTATGCCTCACCCTGCAGCTCAGCACTCAGAACTCCTTTCCTGGGCAGCGTCAATTTCAACTTCTTCCAATCCCTTGGCTATTTTGAGACTGCCCCTTGTGGGTCCAGAAGGAAGCCAGGAGGCCAGGCATGGTGGCTCCTGCCTCTAATCCCAGCACTTTGGGAGGCCAACGCGGGTGGATCACCTGAGCTCAGGAGTTCGAGACCAGCCTGAGATGGTAAAACCCCGTCTCCACTAAAAATACAAAATTAGCCATGTGTGGCGGCACGTGCCTGTACTCCCAGCTACTTGACAGGCTGAGGCAGGAGAATCACTTGAACCCGGGAGGCTGAGGTTGCAGTGAGCCAAGATCACGCCACTGTACTCCAGCCTGGGCAACAAGAGTGAAACTCTGTCTCAAAAAAAAAAAAATAAAAAGAAAGAAGCCAGGAGTCTCAAGCTTGCAGTAACTTGGATAACTTGGGGTGTAGTCTCCTTCCTCCCCTCTTTCTTTTTTTTTTTTTTATCTTTTTTTTGAGACGGAGTCTCGCTCTGTCACCCAGGCTGGAGTGCAGTGGCCAGATCTCAGCTCACTGCAAGCTCCGCCTCCCGGGTTCACGCCATTCTCCTGCCTCAGCCTCCCGAGTAGCTGGGACTACAGGCGCCTGCCACCTCGCCCGGCTAAGTTTTTGTATTTTTAGTAGAGACGGGGTTTCACTGTGTTAGCCAGGATGGTCTCGATCTCCTGACCTCGTGATCCACCCGTCTCAGCCTCCCAAAGTGCTGGGATTACAGGCTTGAGCCACCGCGCCCGGCCTCCTCCCCTCTTTCTAACTCCTCTTGTTTCCTGGCCACCCCTCCTCAACCTCCCCAAGTTGCAAAATCAGCTGATAAGCCATGGGCAGGAGTGAATAAACAAATCACTCCCCAGTTTTAACGCGCTGATGATCAAGTTTGGGCCTAAAGCAAATTCATATGTTTGCATTTATGTAAGAGAAAGTGGTTAAAACTGCTTGATTTTATATAAACTTGAAAAACATTACTTTTTGCTTTTGACCTGGACAGCTGTGGAAGTCGGTCTCTCCTTGCAAGGTAAGGATATGAGCTTAGTCATACTGACGACCAACATCAAGGAACATGTTGATGTTCATTACAGACACTGTTCTTATTCCAATGCTAGAAGGACCGGTGAGCATTATATAACATTTTCATGCACCCTTACATAAACAATTAGAAGCTGTTTACTTCTCAAGGACTCAATTAAATTTTTTTTATTTTTTTATTTTTTTTTATTTCAGGCCTGAGCTGAGGACACTACAAGAGCCAAATTAGAGAAGGGGCTTGCAGTCCTGCCATATTGCGTATTCATGGCTTTCCCGTCCCCCCACCCCCAATATAATCCTTTTAAGCCAGGTTAACAACTCACTAATTTCAAAGCGATTCACTTGCCAACTCAAAAAGCACAGATACAACTTTAAATGCTTTCGGATTTTAATCCTCTGGAGTATTTATATGTTTTCTTGTCTTATCCCTCCAAAACTAATGTCAGAGTTTTGAGAATCTGGGAACTTGGGCAAAGGAGAAAACAAGCACGCAGACCAAGGAATCTGAAATCGCAGTTCATGACGTCAGCATAAACCGACAGTACCTTTTTGTTTGTATTGACCCAGCTCAAATTATAAAATCACATGAGTAATAAAACACAAAATACAGGTGTTATCACTGAAAAGCCTAAAATGTAACTAAACGCGTTTTCCCCCCTCGCGGTGGTATCATTTACTCTGTATCTCAACGTTTCTGTCTCCCTAAGACTCTCCCTTTATATCGTGAGCACACATTTTTGCATCATGCTCACACATTCATTAGCTAGGACTGAGGAGTGTGTACGATTCCAACGGGCCCTCAGCGTTAGCTGTTAGATGCACAAACCTTCGCTTCCTTTCCACATCTACTGCACTTGAGGTTCAACAGAGGATCCTTGCAAGAACCGCGCCCAGAGAGCATTCTTGACAGATGCGCGCTTAGCTCCAGCAACCCGCTCTGCTGGGAAGTTTCTTCTAACCACTAACACCCACCTCCAATCCCCCAAGCTGTCACGACGCAGGCTGGCTGGGTCCCGTCTTGACGGGGGAAGGGTTTTACACACATCCTGCTAGGCTGCCCCACATCACAACCAAGCTCGCAGGGCAAACTCCTCCAAGCCTGGCGGACAAGCTGTCCCAGGCGCTCTGGCGCTTCCTGAACACCAAGGTCCCCTCCGCGCTCAAGGGAGCTAGCGCACTGTTACGCAGGGAACCCCGGCACTGCAGGTCGAGGGGATGCCGAGGGAGCGGGGGCGCAGCAGGCAGCCGACCGCTGTAGGCAAACGGCGCGCAGGAGGCAAACCAGGCGCAGGAGCCGGTGCAAGAGCGAGTGGGCGCTGAGAGAGGGGGCGGGGCCCCAGGGGGGAGGCGAGCGCGGGAGGGGGCACGGGGGAACAGGGACCAGGAACCAGCGGGCGCAGGAAGGGGTGCGTCCGCAAGAACCCGCGGGCGCACGGGAGGCACTAGCTCCACGATCAGCTCGGGACTCTCAGGAGCAGCTCAATTGCCAACGGGAGGGGGCTGCGGGGAGTTGGAGGTTGGGGGGGCTGACCAGACGGGGGCGTGCCTTTGCCCGGATTGGCTGCAGGAGGCTGACGCGAGGCCCCGGGGGTTGGCTTGGGGAGTGGGAGCGGGGTGGGGTGGGTGCTGGGTGCCGGAGCTGCGGGCCCGGCGCGCTCAGAAACATGCTGAGGTCCCGGCGGCTCTTCCAGCAGCGGCAGCGGCTCCAGCAGCAGCGGCGGCGGCGGCGGCGGCGGCAGCGACAGCGCTCGGCTCCGGCGGGAAAGGCGCCCGGCGCCCATGCCTCCGGCCCCGGGCCGCGGCTGCCCTGACCCGGCCGCGACCTCCCTCTGCGCACCCCGCCGTCCAGGCTTCTGGGGTGTTCCCCAACCAAGGCCCAGCCCTGCCACACCCCCCGCCTCCGGCCTCCGCAACTCGGCATGGGCGCGGGGGCGCTCGTCCTGGGCGCCTCCGAGCCCGGTAACCTGTCGTCGGCCGCACCGCTCCCCGACGGCGTGGCCACCGCGGCGCGTCTGCTGGTGCCCGCGTCGCCGCCCGCCTCGTTGCTGCCTCCCGCCAGCGAAGGCCCCGAGCCGCTGTCGCAGCAGTGGACGGCGGGCATGGGTCTGCTGATGGCGCTCATCGTGCTGCTCATCGTGGCGGGCAACGTGCTGGTGATCGTGGCCATCGCCAAGACGCCGCGGCTGCAGACGCTCACCAACCTCTTCATCATGTCCCTGGCCAGCGCCGACCTGGTCATGGGGCTGCTGGTGGTGCCGTTCGGGGCCACCATCGTGGTGTGGGGCCGCTGGGAGTACGGGTCCTTCTTCTGCGAGCTGTGGACCTCGGTGGACGTGCTGTGCGTGACGGCCAGCATCGAGACCCTGTGTGTCATCGCCCTGGACCGCTACCTCGCCATCACCTCGCCCTTCCGCTACCAGAGCCTGCTGACGCGCGCGCGGGCGCGGGGCCTCGTGTGCACCGTGTGGGCCATCTCAGCCCTGGTGTCCTTCCTGCCCATCCTCATGCATTGGTGGCGGGCGGAGAGCGACGAGGCGCGCCGCTGCTACAACGACCCCAAGTGCTGCGATTTCGTCACCAACCGGGCCTACGCCATCGCCTCGTCCGTGGTCTCCTTCTACGTGCCCCTGTGCATCATGGCCTTCGTGTACCTGCGGGTGTTCCGCGAGGCCCAGAAGCAGGTGAAGAAGATCGACAGCTGCGAGCGCCGTTTCCTCGGCGGCCCCGCGCGGCCGCCCTCGCCCTCGCCCTCGCCCTCGCCGGTCCCCGCGCCGCCGCCCGGACCCCCGCGCCCCGCCGCCGCCGCTGCCACCACCGCCCCGCTGGTCAACGGACGTGCGGGTAAGCGGCGGCCCTCGCGCCTCGTGGCCCTGCGCGAGCAGAAGGCGCTCAAGACGCTGGGCATCATCATGGGCGTGTTCACGCTCTGTTGGCTGCCCTTCTTCCTGGCCAACGTGGTGAAGGCCTTCCACCGCGAGCTGGTGCCCGACCGCCTCTTCGTCTTCTTCAACTGGCTGGGCTACGCCAACTCGGCCTTCAACCCCATCATCTACTGCCGCAGCCCCGACTTCCGCAACGCCTTCCAGCGACTGCTCTGCTGCGCGCGCAGGGCTGCCCGCCGGCGCCACGCGGCCCACGGAGACCGGCCGCGCGCCTCGGGCTGTCTGGCCCGGCCCGGACCCCCGCCGTCGCCCGGGGCCGCCTCGGACGACGACGACGACGATGTCGTCGGGGCCACGCAGCCCGCGCGCCTGCTGGAGCCCTGGGCCGGCTGCAACGGCGGGGCGGCGGCGGACAGCGACTCGAGCCTGGACGAGCCGTGCCGCCCCGGATTCGCCTCGGAGTCCAAGGTGTAGGGCCCGGCGCCGGGCGAGGACGCCGGGCACCCCGGGAGGAGGAGAGCCCGGGCGCCCCGGAACGACTTCCCGGGGGAACGAGGAGATCTGTGTTTACTCAAGACCGAAAGCAGGTGAACTCGAAGCCCACAATCCTCGTCTGAATCATCCGAGGCAAACAGAAAAGCCACGGACCATTGCACAAAAAGGAAAGTTTGGGGAGGGATGGGAGAGTGGCTTGCTGATGTTCCTTGGTTTTTTTTCTTTCTTTCTTCCTTTTTTTTTTTTTTTTTTTTTTTTTTCTGTTTGTGGTCCGGCCTTCTTTTGTATGTGCGTGTGATGCATCTTTAGATTTTTTTTCCCCCACGTTGGTTTTTGACACTCTCTGCGAGGACCGGAGTGGAAGTTGGGTGGGTTACGGGAAGGAAGAAGCATTAGGAGGGGATTAAAATCGATCAGCGTGGCTCCTATCCCTTTCCCAGGAACAGGAGCAGTCTACCAGCCAGAGGGAGGAGAATGACAGTTTGTCAAGACGTATTTTCTTTTGCTTTCCAGATAAATTTCATTTTAATTTCTAAGTAATGAGTTCTGCTGTCATGAAAGCAAACAGAAAGGATGGAGGCAAAAAAAAAAATTCACGTTTCAAGAAATGTTAAGCTCTTCTTGGAACAAGCCCCACCTTGCTTTCCTTGTGTAGGGCAAACCCACCGTCCCCCGCGCGCCTGGGTGGTCAGGCTGAGGGATTTCTACCTCACACTGTGCGTTTGCACAGCAGATAGAACGACTTGTTTATATTAAACAGCTTATTTATGTATCAATATTAGTTGGAAGGACCAGGCGCAGAGCCTCTCTCTGTGACATGTGACTCTGTCAATTGAAGACAGGACATTAGAGAGAGAGAAACAGTTCAGATTACTGCACATGTGGATAAAAACAAAAACAACAAAAAAAAGGAGTGGTTCAAAATGCCATTTTTGCACAATGTTAGGAATTACAAAGTCCACAGGAGATGTTACTTGCACAAAAAGAAATTAAATATTTTTTAAAGGGGGAGGGGCTGGGCAGATCTTAAAAACTAAAATAAAATTCAAACTCTACTTCTGTTGTCTAGTATGTTATTGAGCTAATGATTTATTGGGGAAAATACCTTTTTATACTCCTTTATCATGGTACTGTAACTGTATCCATATTATAAATATAATTATCTTAAGGATTTTTTATTTTTTTTTTTTTATGTCCAAGTGCCCACGTGAATTTGCTGGTGAAAGTTAGCACTTGTGTGTGAACTCTACTTCCTCTTGTGTGTTTTACCAAGTATTTATACTCTGGTGCAACTAACTACTGTGTGAGGAATTGGTCCATGTGCAATAAATACCAATGAAGCACAATCGAGATTATGTACTGTGTGTCTGTAAAGGGTCAGTGATAATGAAAAAGACAGTTTGTTTTGTTCAAAATATAGACTGGATTTCCCATAGAGCTCTTTTAATAGACTTTCATGACTCAATAACATAGCAAAATGCCTCCAGACCTAAATAAGGTGTTTACCTACTGAGAGCTGCAGATTTGTCCTAAATTTTCACAGCCAGATTCAAGGTATTCTAGACTACTTGTAGGCACTTTCAAGATCCCATCTGCTGCACTTGACTTAAGAAGTGACATTTGGGATTTCGTATCTCCTAAAAAAAAAAAACAAAAAGTGATGCGGTCATTTAACTCAGCTGCAACTTTTCATGGAAATGCAGGAAAGACTAACTCATTGAATGATCAGTTGCCTACTTGGAATGCAATAAGTGGCTTCCTCAGCTTATTTTTGTTTTCCAATAGAAAATCACAGCCTGCAGATGATCAGTGTGTGCAGATTTCTCCAGAGGCTGTTTAGAATGAAAAATGCTTTCATGGTTAAGCAAAAATGTATAAAAGGACTTCTGAAGTAAATGTTTTTTCTCTTATGTAGTTAAATAAATCATTTTGCCAGAAGTTCTGAGTGGACAGATCATAGATAAAAGCAAGTGTGAAGGGATTTAAGTTTCTAACAAAATTACGGCACCCGAAGGATGGGGTATTTTTCATAAAGTTATTTCCTAAAGGAAAGGATAGTGCAAATCTGTTCTGAGATTAATTTTACTTTCTCCAAAATATATTTAAAGTACTTACTATATTTTTAAATAAGCTTTTTATTTCATGACCGTACAGTAAATAAGCCAAAGTAAAGAATATTAACTTCTGGCTTCTGCTACACTTTAAATGAGCAGAGTATTCTCTAACAAGGAAAAGTTGAGACTGAACATTCTTTTTTGCAACGGCATACTCTAAAGACAAGGCAACCTTCTTCTGAGAAAGGTTAATGACGTAGATGTTTTAGAGACCAGCGGAAGGTTGCATGAACGGTAACAGCCTCAACAAAAGCTGCTATGAAGTTTAACCCCTTTCCAGCAAAAAGTAAATAAATAAATAAAAAGGAAAAAGGAGAGCTTCTTTAAGAATACAAAGATAAATACTTAAAGAAACATGTTTTGAAGAATGTAAAATCAGTCTCAGGATGAAATGTCACTGTAATTTCCCTAGGAACCAAATATGGTTAATTTCTATCCACCCCCGACCATGAGTACATAAGATGCATTTTCTTAGGGGTTTTGTCCTTCTTTGTTTGAAATACTAAACACAGAAGTACCAGGTAAATGCTTCATTTTCTTGGTTTCCTATTTATTTGCTTATTTTGTCTCGATGTCTTCACATTTAAATAAAAAAAATCTTCCCAGCCCAAAACATATATGCAGGCCTGTCAAATCTCAGGTCTTAAAATCACTCAGGTCTTAAAATCATGAAAGTCCTTTCAGCTTTAAGAACAAATGTGTATAATTTAACTACTTAGTACACAGGTTTAGTCACTTTAGTGAGTTAGAGGAAACCACTATAATCTTGGGGCCGGTGTCTATGTATTGGCAGGAAATAGAAAAGATTTTTGTGTGATCTCCTAAGCTCTCCAACTGAGAATTACATGGATTCAGAAACAGACCATGTCAGTGATTCCAAATCCCCATGAAGACTACTTTTTGTCTCTTTTGAAGAAGGCAGCCATTGATTTATAATAGGAAATGTGGGGAAGCTGGGCTGTCAGTCCCAGTAGTGATGGTAGTGGGAGGAGAAAGCAGCCAGTCCTGCTTAATCTGGTGAGAATGTGAACTGCAGAAACAGGAAGAGGGCATTGAGTGTGCAAAAGGGCAGCCTTACCCATAGGCTTGTATGTATCAATGTAACAAAAGCATAAACCTTAAAATCAAAGCAGGAAAATCTGATCAAGATTCATAATTTGCTACATTGGAAGTTACATTCAGGTTGAACACTAACAAGAACTCAATGGAGATTTTCCAGGATATATAAATTCTCTCTTCGACGTAGAAATGTGTAATTGGTATAGCATATGGCTTCATCCTTTGGTGAACTTGCCTATATAAAACTTTGCAAATAGAGTTTATTTATTTGTTTCTTAGTCTATGCTTTCTTTGGAATTGGAATTATTAGTAACTCTTAAGTGGCTATTGTGAAATCTTTCCTTGTTAAGCACATTTTCCTAGCTTATTTTAATTTCACATTTTGTTGAATGTGCCGACTTCCTCTGGCAGTATATAGAATTGCCAGACACAAATTCTGCACCCAAAGTATCAGGGCAATATTAACATTTAAGTTTTTTGCAAGAGGTTCTCAGCAAGGATCTAAAGAAAAATTATTCTACAACTTTTGCTGCCAGTTGTGAAAGACTTTTTTTAAAATGTTTTTAACCAAGCTGGACTCATTCGTTTATTTGAAGGAAAAAAAACCTTAGAAGTAAATTAACCACATTGGCACAGATAATGTCATTTTATTTGTACATTTCTGGCATAATGTGCTGAGAAATACTAATTCTTTTGACTCCCTGCCAATTTTCTACTAATCAAAATGGAGAAGATATGCACTGTTTGGATTATACCTAAAAATAGTTGTGCTACAGTCACATCAGCAAATGGAATTAAATTAATTTCTGTTTCTTCCTCTTCACATACACCCTCTGCACCATTTAAATTTCCATCTAGAATATTGCTCCTGAATCTCATAATTTTTTATTCAATGCATCCCAAATAACATTGCTACATTGCAATGATTTTTAAGCAAACTCTATTGAACTACTCTTCCGGCAGGATAACACTCTCCAAAAAATGCCATGTTTAGTCTGCTCTCATTTAAGGATCCTCTACTGGATAGCTGTTATAATGTAATCAAAGAGGTAGGAATACTAGAAATAGATTCTTTGTAGGCTAATTTACCTCATCAATAGTCTTTTTACCCTTTTGTAGGTGGAGGGCGATAGTGACTGAATCAATCAGATTCAATTATGTGGTCATAGAACAGAGAAGTGGTTTCAAATCCGATGGCTCTAATGACAGACTGCAAAAATGGTAGCTCCAAGAAGCTCCCACAGTGCTGGCACTATCAGAGCCTGATCTTTGCAGTAACGTGAGCAGCACCCAGGACGGCTTTGTAAGCAACTGCCTTTAAACCTTTGCCTTCTCTTGGATGCTTGGCAGTGATCACGTCCTCAGCTTCTCACTGAAGATCATTCTTGTCTTAGAAACACCATACTCACTAGCCCTTTTTGGAGCACTTCTTTTTTATTTCTTCTCTCCTTTCCTTTTTTTTTTTTTTTTTTTTTTTTTGAGACGGAGTCTTGCTCTGTTGCCCAGACTGGAGTGCAGTGGCGCAATCTCGGCTCACTGCAACCTCCACCTCCCGGGTTCATGCCGTTCTCCTGCCTCAGCCTCCCAAGTAGCTGGGACTACAAGTGCCCACCACCCTGCCTGGCCAATTTTTTTTATTTTTTAGTAGAGACGGAGTTTCACCATGTTAGCCAGGATGGTCTCTATCTCCTGACCTCTTGATCCGCTCACCTCGGCCTCCCAAAGTGCTAGGATTACGGGCTTAAGACACTGCGCCCAGGGTTGGAGCACTTCTTCAATTCTTTCTAGGACAGGGTCCCACTCTGTTGCCCAGGCTGGTAGTGCAGTGGCACAATCATGGCTTACTGCAGCCTCGACCTCCCAGGTTCAGGTGGTCCTCCCACCTAAGCCTCCTGAGTGAGTAGTTGGGACTCCAGCCCTGTGCCACCAAGCCTGGAAATTTTTTTTTTTTTTTGTATTTTTTGTAGAGACAGAGTCTCCCTATGTTGCCCAGGCTGCTCTCGAACTCCAGGGCTCAAGCAGTCCGCCTGCCTTGGCCTCCCAAAGTGCTGAAAATATGAGCTTGAGCCACCATGCCCGGCCTTCAATTTTCGAATAAGCTAGAAACATCTAGAACATCTAGTTCTTGATACATTTATTTTCCTGGGAGCATGGATTTCTCACAAATCATTTCCTAAAGCTCTGATTTTCAACATCTCTCAACATTTACAGTTCCATTTTTCCTCTCTCCATATTCCCTTGCTAATAGCTGTTAATTAGGAGTAGCAAGACCACACTGTTTTCTTCCCACTTATGACACAAAACTTACCTATGATGCATTTTAAATGTCAAGTTTGGGTTTCTTCCTGAGAATTTCAGTATTGCTCACAATTACGTGGCAACTCCAAGCAGATAACAAGTTAAATACTTGTTTGTATTTTCCTATCAAAGGTGTTTAGGATGAGTTTAATATTTAGGGTGTGGGACTATCTTAGCCTTTCTTTTTTCTGATATTGTCACTTCGTAACCATGTGACCTTGTCAGTCTCATTATCTTAGTTTCAAAAGGTAACATTAGTTGTTCCACCTTCAACTGTTTGCAAATTAGTTTTGCTAATTATTATTAGGCTAGCTGATTTGTGGGAATTGTGGGTAAAATTTTAGGGGTGTGGAAAACTCTTTCAAGCAGATGGCCCACTGTGGCCACAATGTCTGTCTAACTGTAGTTCCCACTGTGCCCAATGACCCTGGGGAAGTCAATCAGTTTCCTTGCCGTTCAGGTTCACTTCCTACAAAGCCTGATCAGTAGCCTCTGTTTGCAAATCTCTTTGAGATGCTATGACAGAAGTTCTTTGCTTTGCAAAGTCTATCATTTTGAATACTTTCTCCTGGCCTCCTTTTCCCTTTCCTAGCAACTCCACCCACAGAAATCCCTCCGTCTTTTTTTTTTTTTTTTTTTTTTTTTTAAGTGAAAAGAACAACTAAGAATAGCAAAAATATATATAATAGCCCATGCATTCAAACAAATGGTCCTTCATTCTTTGGTGCACTTAAAATTCCACAGAAACCACAACTGAATAAAATAATCTTCCCAAACATCGGATTAAAAAACCTGTTTGCTCTGTGCTGAGCAAAAGTGATTGTTTAATGATTCTTAACCCACGGCCACTTTGAGAAAGGAAAGCCAATTTGGAAAATTACTCAACTCTACAATTTTGCATTGAGTTATAAATACTAAAAGCAACAATCTTATTCTTCTTTTTCTTGGAATAGCAATTCAGAGATGAAACGCGCTGAGAGCAACAAGAGTTTATATTTTTGCACACCCCTCCTTTATGGGTTGCAAGGTATTGAGTTTTTCTGTTCCCAACCTAATAAACAGGAACAAATCTACAGGAACTTTACTGGCTTACAATTTCTGTTATGTTAACTACAGGAACGCACCTGCAATCTTGAAGTCCTTGTAAAAAAATGCTGTTAAAGAGTAAACATTAATAGACATTCCAATAACATTTTCTTCACTCAAGAGATTTTTTTAAACCATTGTAAGTAACATTTTAGTAAGATGCTCTTTTTAAAGAACTCATTGCACTTAACTGATTTTGTGATCAATTCAGAGATAGTATGGTTTTTTTTTTTTCTTTTCTTTTCTTAAAATAGGCATACGTAAGTAAAACTGAGTCACTCAGAAAAATTCCAGACTCTTCAGCATGGGAAAGATCTTGATGTGTCTAGTAAACACTACCCCAGCCCCATGCAAGGTTATACCTAGATCAGTGCAGATCTAGAGAGATGATCTGGTGAGATCATTTTGAGATTTAAAGACCTGGTCTGCTAAATAGCCTATCCAATCAGCAAATGTTTCCTTTACAGAAGACCCAAATCCCTCATCCTGTTTTCACTCATGACTGATCTCAGAGAAATCTGAAAACTGAGGACTGAGCCACTATTCTATACAAAAATCCTTTCGATGGCCAGGCATAGTGGCTCACACCTGTAATCCCAGCACTTTGGGAGGCCGAAGCGGGTGGATCGCTTGAGCCCAGGAGTTCGAGACCAGCCTGGGCAACATAGCAAAACCTCATCTCTACCAAAAATACAAAAGTTAACCGGACACGGTGGCACGTGAGTGTAATCCCAGCTTCTCAGGAGGCTGAGGTGGGAGGATCACTTGAGCCCAGGAGGTCAAAGCTGCAGTGAGCCCTGATTGTGCCACTGTGACAGAGTGAGACCCTGTCTCAAAAAAAAAAAAAAAAAAAAAACCCTCTTGATGATATACATGTAAAACTGTGACACCCTCTTCTCAGCTTTCTATGCACTCAATAATTCCATTTCCATTATAAGCAACTTCAAATCCATTCATTCTTTCTGTTGTTCACTCGGGAATCATTTCCAGTAACAGGGATTCCTCTTAGAGACAAGAAAGAGCAAAACATGGCACATAATATTAAGTTCAGACCTGGTCTGATGTCATCAATATGTCATCATTCCTGGAATCATGCTAGTAACTTTTTTCAGTCACCAGAGTCCCAAAGCTCTGAAGATCAGAAGAAAATATTGTGCAAAGTGAAGAAGTGTAACACGAAGATTAGTAAATCTTTACAGTACTGCAAAAAGCATCCTGTAAGCATGGAACAAAACAGACAATATACATTTTTAAAATGTAAATTCCATTATAGATAATTTACATTTTATAAATTATAAAATATATAATATTTTTTTAAAACATAAAATTTTTCTCAGACCAAGCAACCAATTAAAACCCCCTCCCGAAAGGGCACATGTTTACAACTCTCTTCAAACCTTTGGAGTGTTAATATACCTAAAGGGACAAACACATTTTATGTTTGTTTCTTTGAGATGGGGTCTCGCTCTGTCGCCCAGGCTGGAGTGCAGTGGCATAACCACCGGTCACTGTAGCCTCAATCTCCCAGGCTCAAGCGATGCTCCCATCTCACCCTTCCCTGACTAGCTGGGACTACAAGCATGCGCCACCATGCCTGGCTAATTTTTGTATTTTTTGTAGACACGCAGTTTTGCCATGTTGCCCAGGCTGGTCTCGAACTCCTGAGCTCAAACAATCCACCAAGGCTCAAGTGATCCTCAGCCTTCTGAGTAGCTGGGACTACAGGCACATGCCACCACATCCAGATTTTTTGTTTGTTTTTGTGGAGACCAGGTCTCCCTATGTTGTCAGAGCTGGTCTCAAACTCCTGAGCTCAATTGATCCGCCAGCCTTGGCCTCCTGAAGTGCTGGGATTGCAGGTGTCAGCCATCGTGCCTGGCAGAGGCAAAATTTTTCACATTATTTGTGCTGGGAAAACACCTGGGAAGCGTAATTATGTAGGGGATTTCTGTGATTAGTCTTTTGTGATTCATATGTTCATCTGCTCTTAATTAAGGGTATCATGTACTGAGTGAGCGTGCTGTATGGGATGCGCCCAGCCTAAAACAGAGCCTGTCCCCAAAGCAGTCACACTATGGTTGGGAAGATTAGACATCCATGTGTTGAAAAATGACAAAGAATGAGGCAGGTGTGGTTAAGTGCCAGATGCTTGGGCCAAAAGTAGGGCTCTAGACCAGTGCTATCTCATAGCAACACAATGCAAGCTATATATTTAATTTTATATTTTCTAGTTCAATTAAAAATTGAAATTAACAGATAAAATTAGTCTTTCAATATGTAATTGATCTAAAACATTTTTATGAGATACTTCACTTTTAAATAACTGAATCTTTGAAATCTGATGTGTATCTTACATTTCTAGCCCATCTTAATTGGAACTAGGCACATTTCAAGGGCGCAGTAGCAGGAGAGAGTGGATGGTAGGGTGGCGTAACCTAGAGGCTGGATAACCACATGGACCTTAGATGAGGAGAGAAAACGACATGAATGGCCATTCCAGGGGACGTTATAAGGAGAAGAAAACTGCATGAACAAAAACCTAGAGATATGGGGAGTCAAGAAGAATGGTCAGACAATGAATAGGCAGTTGCAGGTACTTCATTTTGATAGAGTAATTGGAGATGAAACTGGAAAGTGGTTTGGGAACAGATCAAAAAGTTTATGCAAAAGCGTTGAACTCTAACCTTCCTAAAAGCATGGAGATTTATAAGCAAGAGTGTCAGGATGAAAACAGCGTTTTAGAAAGATTCACCTGGCATCAGAAGGCGTGATGGGTAGATATTAACATCTCACTTAATCTTCAAAGTAATTCTGAGTTAGTAAATTTAAAAATCCCATTGTACAAATCAGAAAACTAAGATTTACGTAATTTCATATACGTGAACTCATTATTAAATTGCTTTTTTTTTTCTGAGACAGCGTCCCACTGTCACCCAGGTTGGAATGCAGTGGTGTGATCTTGGCTCACTGCAACCTCCGCCTCCCGGGCTCAAGTGATCCTCCCACCTCAGCCTCCCAAGTAGCTGGGACTACAGGCAGGTACCACCACACCCGGCTAGTTTTTGTATTTTTTTGTAGAGACAGGGTTTTTCCATGTTGCTCAGTTTGGTCTCAAACTCCTGGTCTCAAGCCTTCAGCCTGCCTCAGCCTCCCAAAGTGCCGGGATTACAGACGTGAGCCACTGTGCCCGGCTGACCTTTTTGACTTTTATGTATCAACTTCAGGAGCTGACTCAGAGAAACACACTGCTACCAAGCAGGTTTCCGAGTGTGTAAGTATGAGGGCCTGTGAATTGCCCAAGGTCATGCCCCTATGGAGGTAATGCACATGGGCTGAGGCAGTTTGTTCACGGCAACAGGTGAGCAGAGATCAAGTCCAGGTGCCTGACTCCTAAGTTAGTCTCTTTTTCATGTCTCCAAACCACTTGTCTGTTCCCTACCAGACTAGAGGTCCCTTTAGAACTTGCCTTTTTATCTTTAACTCTGCAGTGCCTGATGCGTTACCGCATACAGGGTGTGCGCTCTGAATATTCATTGACTACATTCTACTAGAGTCAGAGAAACAAGCTCTCCAGCTCCCACGACGGTCCAGGCACATAGTGGTAACAGGCCTAACTAGAGCTGAGCACTGCAAGAAGATGTGAAATAACCCTCTATTTCTTTTGTACATCTAGATTTTCACTATTCAACACAAAGAATAGTTTCTCTAGGAAAAGTGCTAAGCCTCAAATTGCAATGTATAATACATGGCACAACCTCTGCTGGTGTCACCGGAAACAATGAGGTTTTCCGAATATGTCTAAGAAATGCACTTATTTCTACAAATGGCACATCGATTGTTGGAATTCTGTACCTAACCAACATAAATTCTATGACTATGAAGGTGGTATATACTGTATGAAAATGTACATCATTATTTAAAAATAGGCATTTCACCGAAATTGCTAAATGAGAACTATGTGTTCTAAGTTCTAGGTCAACTGTCAATGGGAAAAATACTTGATTTATTTGCCACTTATGGTAGTATAGCTTAAATGGGATTCTTTCCTTTGTGAGAGATCCAGAGACGTTGTTCTCACTGGACTCTACAGGGAAAAAAAAGCCCCGTCCCAAGCCCCAGTGCATTCCCTGGACCCAAACAGTCATTGTAGCTAAGAGAGCAGATTTCATTTCATCAATGTACAGATTTCTGTCTTAAATGTTACTTCTGCCTGTTAATACTGTAAGAAATAATATATCCATAAAAATATATTTAGGGCAAACAAACATCACAGCCCTCTCAAAGTTTCAAAACAGATGCATAATCGTTATCTTCCCATCTTAGCACAAAAGCTAGAGTTTATATGGGATCTTCAGCTGGTCCAAGTTATACCGATTCTTGCCTTTTGACAAAGCATTAAGACTTTATTTGAGATTTTTAAATTGCAGGTGTGTTCTCAGTAATGCAGAATTCATTTTAAATAACATTATATTTTTATTCCCTTACCGGGATTATTGTTTGCAAGAAACTCAGTGTTGAGGCTTCACACTGGGAAGGTGGGAGCCAGGCAGAGGCTGACATGAGGAAACCTCCATGAGCCATGACCTTGGGACATTTGCAGGCCCCCTGCCTCAAACACTCAAGAAACCTATTTGGTAAGAATGCATTTCTCTGTGTCAGCTCCTCAGATTGATATATGAAATCAGAAAGCCACTTTAATAATTCACAAGGTAGCAGGTCACAAGTCCTATTACACACGCTGTGAGCATGACCAAACGTTCTCTGTCTATACACTGGGAAGACAGTTACAGCCAAAAGGTTCGCAGTAATCCTGGGGTCAGAACTGAGAAGCCTGGTTGCAATGACTTACCAGTGCATCCATTTTTACTGTGGCCCAGAACACTGGAAGTTTGCTGGCTTTGAGACCGACTCTTTCCTAAATAGGGATTGGATGGGCACTGCCAGCAGTGGACTCTGTGTCTCTCCTTTTTCTGTCACCAATAGCCAAGTGCCCCTCCCCTCTCCATCCCATTCCCCAGTAGGCAGATTCTTCCTTTATAGAAGGTGAGACACCTAAGCAGGTTGGTCAAGTCATGTTGACCTGACTGTCTCTTTACAAGGGCAACATGTCTTTGCTTTCATCCATTATTTGACTTAGGAGGGCTGGTAGTCAGGAGGCGATTTTGCTGCTTTCCCTCCAACTCTTGAGATTAAAGCGCATCTCCCATAGAAAAGCTACTGGTCCCTTTTCTACATTATAGGAACCCGGGTACTTGTTTCTGTTAATCTTGCTAATGGAAATAGCATTGTTTCCATTTTATTTAATGATACAGCTCTTTTCCTTAAACGCGTTAAACCTGTCTAACCAGCATTCAAATATTTCTTTCTCTGATCTGTATGTCAGATGAATTTGAACTGTAATTACATTTTCCTGATCCATACTGCAGAAACATCTAAGCTAACTGTGCCTCCGAAAATGCCACACTCTTAGGTCATCCTAGGCTGGAACTCTGGACAGAGGTCTAAGAGGTGAATCATGTTTATGCAGGGGATAAAAATGATGGTTTTTTGATGGCACTGAGGCATTGGGTTCAATCTAACACATATTAGATTACAGTTGTAGGGAAAAGTTTGAAATTTGTGGCAAAAAAGATGATTGCACTCTTAGGCTTTTTGTTTCCAACCAATGTAAAAATATATTGTCGTCTTACTGCAATTACAATTCAGTAATACAAATACAATTTATAATCATGTATTCATTTGTTTTACCTACTATGTGCTGGGCCCAATAGTAGTATAGGGCAAGGCAGACACTGTCCTCAAAATCAGGAAGCAACTGTAGCTAATGTTTCCTGGCACTTTTTAAGAATTAGTAGAGACAAAGTAAACAAGTGCTTTTTAGAGTTCATTTATCAGAAATCAGAAATAACTTGCTGGATGTCAGTCCAGTTAGGAAAGGTGAGAAAAGCATTTTATTCCTTTTTAAGGGTGACCACAAAATCCATATATTGGAAATGTCAAAGTTAATATTACATATTAATTACATGCATTAATTATATTACACATGCATATATATGTGTATATATATGTATATATCTTTTTAGGTAAAATATGTGGGATAGTCCCACAAGCTCTTATCTGAGGCCCCATGGGGCAAGATGTGTTTTGGGATTTAGAATCTGGGGATTTTAGGAAGGTAATATGGTTCGTATACTAGATATTACGTAACACCTAAGCAGATATTAGATATTACATAACACCTAAGCAGGGTCCAGATCAGCGTCTTATAATCAAACATTGGTGTCTCTACTGTGAAATGTATGATTATTCACAGTAAGCGGGTAAATAATGACTATAAATAGCCTTATACCACTTCAAGTCAGATCTTGCTGCCAAATGAGTTCAAGTAAGGTCACGTGTGCTGCCAAATGAGTTATGGAAAAAAATTCTTATCTTCAGGGCTTTCTGGATTTGGGAATTTGGAATAAGAAGTTGTGGACCTATATTATGGAATGTTCTTTTATAGAAAACCATCTACTGTTTAGGAAAGGCAATAAAATATATTTAAACCTACCAGTTACATTACATCAATTGATTTAGTAATAATACTATTCAGCAATTAATTAATTTGAGAATAAACACTTATTTAAATAGTGGCAGTTCCAGGGAGATTTTGAACCAACTAAGGTTACATCCTGTTAGCATGTATTAATAGCCAAAGGCATGATTGTGATGCGGGGACAACATTTTTTTGGAAACAATCCACAGTAGTCAATATATTATATAGCCAACCTTCTGTTTTGCAGAGACCAACCTATCAGCTAAGAAAATATCTTTGGTGAATACAATGCTGATTTCAAAGAATCTCAGAATTGGAAGTGACCTTTAAAAAATCACTGTAGCCCAGCCATCTCTCAGAGCAAAGATTCTTCTTATTCTTGAGACATCAACCCCTTTAAGATTACAAAAGAAAAGGAAAGAAAAAGAAAAAAGGCTATGATCTTCATCCCAGAAAGATGCACATAATCTACATATGAAAATCATCACAACTATTTTCAAGGGATCCATTAAGAATTCCTGCCTTAGATTCTTGCCGTATTTGAAAAGAAAGCTAAGGTAAAATTTCACAGCAATCTTAGTACTGTAAAATAAAGAGAGCTGCTTTATTTTAAGCTGCCTCATAAATTACCTGTGGTCATATGTCTTAGTGTCTTCTCTGACATTTATCTCAACTTATGATTTTCTATGCAGTGTTTATAAGATAAATATTTTGAACTCATTGTGACCCTTGTTTTTATCTTAAAGGTTGGAAAGAGGAAAAGTAATGACATTTTAGCTTTTCTCTTTGTATTTTTACATTCCGTATCATCCATAACTCAGAGGGGTGAAAAAATAAAAAGAAATCCTCTAAGGAAAAGGCCTAAAATGTCCTACTAGTAAATGTATCAAGCATCAATTTTCAGTTTGACATTAACTGAGAAAGGAAATGATGAAGTAAATTTTCTAAGTGTTGAGCTGTCACAGGAAAAAGGATTTGTATTAGTCTCTGGCATGAAATCATGATTTAGATTTGTCAGTATTAGGTACACAATTTCTTTTTTTTGACATTTGTAGGAGACTGAGGGGAGGGTTCCGGGTGTGTTGCAGTGTACACTTCCTTCTGCACTTTCATCTGAACTGTTCATGAAGAGCGTCCTTTTCAGCCTAAGTGTCTGAAGGAGGCTCACCAACCTGCCAAGAGGCAGTGCTATGGCAGATCTGCAGGAGTGCATGAACCCCCAGCCATACTGATTTCTAAGTGAGCAATGGCTTCCTCCACGCATGGACAGGAAAACTTTCCTTGAGCTTCTTTTCATTCAATCTAGCAAAATGGAACATAAATGGTCCCAAGTACAAGCCGGATCCCACCTGAAGTCACCTATTAACTTGGCTCCATCCAACAGCTTGCCTCATTGTCTTCACTTGCACACAAGGAAGGCCAAGCCAGGGAAACACCAGGTAGGCTGGAAAAATAAGCCTAGGTGATTGGTTTCTGGCCCATCATGCAATATTTCTTATCAGGTTTTGCAACTGGGCTTTGGCTGGGCCTCAGCCCAGAGTCTAGGGAGAATGGAGAGCTCCTCCTTAGATTAAGTGGCCAAGGGGTGTGGAGGTTTTCCTCTCACATTGTTACCATTGAGGACCATTTCTTCTCCCCTCCCAGTAGGAGAAAAACACTCAGTCATAATAATTAATGTACTTTGGAGCTATTTGGCGTCAAAAAAATGCCATGAAGACTATAGAACACAGAATCTGAAACAACCTTGAGAACAGTATGCTGAGTCAAAGAACCAGACACAAAAGGCACATCTTGCATGATTCCATTTATATGAAATATCCAAAAAAGGCAAATTCATAGAGACACAATGTAGACTAGTGGTTGCCAGGGGCTGGGAGGAGGGGGAGGGAAGGGTAACTGCTTAATTGGTCTGTGGTTTCTTTTTGGGGTGACGAAAACATTGTGGAACTAGATAGTGGCAGTGGTTACACAACCTTTTGATTATATGAAATGCCACTGAATTGTGAGCTTTAAAATGCCTAAAATGCTGAATTTTATGTTATGTGTCTTTTACCACAATAAAAAGAAAAATCCCATAGGGTTCTTTTCTATTAGGCTCGCAATTTGTTTAGATAAACAAAATCATGTAAAACCAAAACTGGGGAAGCTATTTTAATAAAAGAGAAAGGAAGAAAATTACTGTCACCTGAACAGTGGTGAAGTATATTTTTATCAGAGTTTAACGCATGCAGGGAGGAATCAGTCTTCATAAGCCAATGCGATTTCTTCTTTTTACAGATAAAGAAGTTAAGACTTTTGTGGTAACCTGGTCTTCAGGAGCAGACATCTAGATTTGAGTCTTTTTCTAGGCAGATTTATGGGCTATGTGACTTAACTGCAGTTACCTGGGCTCTCAGAACCTCAGTTTCCACATCAGTAAACTGAAAATATCTAGGGCTGATCTTCCGAAAATATCATCAGACCTCATGATTCACCAAAGCCAAATCAATTAGAAGTTACTTCGAGAAGAGAGAATACCACCATGACAAAGTCTCAGCAGTGCCTCATAAGAAGGAAGTCAAAATGGATATTTATAGGGTTTCGGCACCTAGAGGCACATATGATTCACAGCAGGTCTTTCAAAGTGCAACCGGTTGAGATTGGGCAGGCTGTGCAACATAATAGTGTAAGATTGGCCGGCTTAGCAGCACAAAGGTCTTGAAGCAAGTCTTGACAAGTGAACTGTTGTTTGAATAGCCAGCTGCTTGCCTGTTGTCTCAGATAAATTCCTACAGGAATTTTCTGAAGCAAACTGTGCAGTTATTTATTGATTTACAGACTTACTCCTGTTGAGGGAAGAGTTCCTGGAACAAACAGCTAAATTGTGATAACACAGGTGGTCTCAGTTTCAGTCCTCAGTCTGTCATGTCTGATACTGGCTGGAGTTCCCAGAGATGCTATGGTCACGTGTCAAGTGCATAGCCTGGGAACTCAATAAATCCTTCATTTTTCCCCAAAGCATCACCACCATTCCCTCTCAAAACTCGCTCCTTGATAGTGAATCTCTGTCAGAACTAGAAGCAAGGTTTGTGCTGTACAGACTGGAACCCTTCCTGCCATCCACTGGCGGACTGGGCTCCACTTCTTTGGTCAAAGGCAAATTCATTCAGCTACAATAAAAAGTCCCAAGTCTTTTCACCACTCTGAATAAGGTAGCAGCAGAACGCAGGGTTATGATGCTGACAGACCAAGGCCCTAGGTTCCCTGTCGCTTGATTTGTGACCCTAGGCCAGTTATCTCCCTCTTTCAGCCTCACTTCCTCATCCAGAAGATGAGGACGATCATGCTTAGCACACAATACATATTCGGCTAACTTTTTAAATTAAGTAAATTGTTGTCTTAAATTTTATTTAAATTTTTTTTCTAAGGTTGCATAAAGATGAAATTTTCTTGTTTTGTTTCCATTTGTTTCCGGTTGTCTCTTATCTTCTGGGAGGACCTGGGTTACGGCTCCCTGGACATGAAGGAATCAGTCTTTCATGTGGGATCCTGGGCCTGACCTGTTCAGAGGGAGAATGCAGAATCTCACGGGACAAGGTGGGTGCAAGGGACCCACAGACAGATTTTTCAAACCAAAGGTTTCACATTTCTTAGATAAACATGATCAAGTCTAAAAATATCCATTCTTAGCTACTCTCCTCTTCTCTTTTCCTATGACTTTCAACACCCCTCATGTGGTTGAAATTTGTAGCCAGTCCCATTCAACCTGCTTTGCTGCCTAGGGGTCAAGTATAACAGAGTTTTGTTTGTTTGTTTGTTTGTTTGTTTGTTTTTGTTTTTGTTTTTGCAGTCTTTATTTGTATAAACTAGTAGTTTTCTGATCTATAGAATCATCCACATCCATATGGCAGGTCAAATACATGCTATCAGAGATTTGTGGATAATTCTAATTTTGAACACTTCAAATGAAAGCTTTCAGAAAAGGCCCCTGAACTGGGGATTGGGACCTGCATGGGTTCTAATTCTCTCTGCTCCCAGTAAGTTTGGGGGAGTAATTTTATATCTGGTAACCCCAGTGTTGAATGTGCAAAGGCTGCTGGTTGAACCAGGTAACCGCTAAGGTATTTTCTTAGCTCTGATTAATTGTAATTACCCTACTTTTAACCATTGATGTTAAAAGTTCAGGCTTTCCTTGAAGGCAAATCCCATCACTTTCTCAGGGGTATTAAAAGAAATCCAAGTTAATTAATTAATTTATATCTTTATGTCAAGAAATATTTATTAAGCTCCAACTAGAAGCCAGGTACTATTAGGTCATGGGGTCATGGAAACCCAGGGTGCTGGAGACCTGGAGGAGGACGTGACCAACATAAGTCTCTAACTCGGCAGGGTTTACTGTGAGACCCCCAAGGAGGGAGCAGATTCTAACACTGGCTGGGACAGTCAGGGACAGCATCACCCACAAGGTACCAATAGACTGAAACTTGGATGGGGGATAGTTTTTGACAAGATGAAAAGCACATTCCAAGCAGAAGGGAGAAACTCTCAAAGGCTTGCAGGCAAAAAAGAGCAAAGGACGTGTTCTGTGTTCCAAAGACAGCAGGAACATTTGCATGGCCGGGGCAGAGGCTGCCAGGCTGGCCCAGTGGGAAAGGATTCCTGATAACAGGCAAAAGCTGGATTGGGAAGGAGTTTATATATCTTAATAAGAATTTTGGACTTCATTCTGTAGGGAAGAGAGTCACTGAAGATTTTAAGTACAAGAATAACTGGGTCAGATTTGAGTTTTTTCACAAGCAATCCCCGGTCACAGAGGAGATGGATGGGTGGAAAAAGAACTAAAGAAGATGGCAAGAGAAGGTCATCGATTTCAAAATGGGAGACAGGTGGAAGAGCAGTCTGGGGAAGTTCACAGTAAATGGATGTGTGGTTTAAGACTCTTGCATCTGTGGGGGTGCGGGGAGAGATGGCCACCAAGCAGCTAGGAAAATAGATTTGTGCCTCAGGGAAGGGTTAGAGAACAAGGGACTTGTTGGAGGGACTTTTCACTTTTAACTTCAGGTTAGAAGTTAAATGCAAAAACGATCTAATACCCCCAAAACACCCCAAAATAAGTAGGAAAATAATGATGAGGAGAAGACAAATGATGGGGAAGAGAACAGTCATTTCTACAATTTTCCTTGGGCTGGTTTTCAAAACGGCAAGTCTTTTTTACATGTTGAAGGATAAATACCTCTTTTTGATAGCCAATTTAGGCATCATATGAATATAATAATGGCCTCAACACTCTGCCATGATGCCCTGAGTAACTGTAAATGCTCAAGATGCACAAAGATGCAAGATCCAAGGATACATCTGCATACGTCCACTGAAGATCACATTTTAAACCTTAATAGCTTAATAACAGACAAGAAAAATATAGATTCCAGTATTATTAAATATGTATGCATGTGTATCCATATATGTGGTGTGTGAGTGGTGTGTGTGTGTGTGTTCATATTCTTTCTCCTCCTAGGAAAAGATGATGTATTAGCTCAGGTGAGTTGCCCAGGAATAGCTAGGAAAAGGTCATGCTCTCCTTCTTCAGAGTTTCAGCCTGTTGTCCTCATATGCCCAGTTTATGCAGGACTTTTCCCTACATCATCAAAAGAATGTGTTTGGCACTGGGGCCTCAGTATCAAGCAGACAACATAGTTCTTACTTACTTTAGAAGTGCAACTGGTAGAATAAAGAGCCTGAGAACCGGAACTGCTGCCAGAAATAGCAGGGCAAATTCACCCACTTCCAAGAAGGTCACTCAGTCTCAGAACAGGGTGCAGGCAGATTGAAACAAATTCTTGGCACCGCCTGTGCCATGCCTGCCTGTTGCATAATGAACAACCCTTAGTTCCCTTGATTGAGAGCGCTGGTGTTGACCCGGCATTTTCTGTTCCTCTCTGTTATATCACTTTCCAGCCCATGTCAAAACAATCACTATTGTCAGTGACCTTCCCTAATAACTCAGTCTCTCTTCTGTATTTAACAGCTACCTGTTGAGAATCCTATTTTTAACAAAACAAGTATAACCTAAGAGCTGTCATCTGTCAGGTTTTAAATGTTTGTTAAAAAATAGGAGTCCCAAACATGTAGCCATTAGGCAACAGAAAGCCATAAACAATGGGAAGAGCAAGCAACAGCAGGAGACGTTAATCACATCTGACTTCATTACTAAACCTCCACTTTGGAAGGGCCACAGTCAGTGGCAAATCATGCAGAGTTGGAGGGTGATTGCTCTTAACAGGAGCAGTTCTACTGACCTTCAGGAAATTATGTCCTGTGGACATCCTGCTCACGTTAATAAATGAGAGCAATGCTCTTTTGGTGGAGGGAGAGGACCTGTCCTAGAGTAACAATTGGAAAAATAAGGTAATGTCTCAAGAAAGATGCATAACTCAGGAGAGTGCTTTGAAACCATGGCTAATTTTTCATCTTTTACTTAGCACCACACGAACCGCTTTTATGCATTACATCACTTGACCTAAGAGAACACTGTGAGGCAAGTACTGTGTTGTCACATTTTACTGATGAGGAAACTGAGGCTTAGAGAAGGTCAAATAACTGGCCTAAAAATACAGAGCTGGGAAATGGCTGTATAGGACTTCAGGAACCCAGGCACTTTCCATAGAGCCCACCCTCTTAACCACTCCATTCTATCTCCTACCTATGACCCAAAATGCCCTTTTATGAAAACTGAAACAGAAGCACCACCTCCCCACCCCACTGCTGGACTTTCTGATTCAAGCCACACTTGGCCACAAGGGTGGTGGCAGCCTGGGTTCCAGTCAAGAGAGAACTCTCTAAATCATCCTCCCGTTGGGGAGTGAAGGTTGCAGTTTGCTCCATGGCCTCATTCTCTCTGATTCAACACTCCGCCACGATGCCCTGAGTAATTATAAATGCTCAAGTTGCACAAAGATGCAAGGTCCAAGGATACAGCTGTATATACGTCCACTGAAGGTCACATTTTCAACCTTAATAGCTTCCGTTTTTACCCAGGCCCATGACTCCTTTTCTTTTCTCATGCATGATAGAATATGTGTTTTTCTTGCTGAGCTATACCCTACGCATTTCCTTGGTCTTACCTTCATAGTATTTTTCCACTATTTCCTTTGATTTAGGGAAATTCAAGCTTTCAAATCTACAGAGCCCTAGGACATGGGAGACTATTAAGTTCACTAGAGCAGAAGATCTTTAAATAGTAGCCCCTGGTAAGTTGGATTCTGCATCATTAATAATCACCTGGAGGACAGAGGAACAGAGTCCCGCTAATTGACAATCACCCAGAAATAAATATAAAAATCTCTGAAATGCTAATTGTTAAGTGTTTATTGAGGCCCATCATATGCCTGTGCTGAATACTAAAGTACCAAAACATTTCCAAAGAACTTACCATCTGATTGTACTCCAAAGAATAGAGGCAAGTATGATATTATATGTAATCAAGTGTGAAACTGTGCACAATGTGGTTCAATTGATGGCAGTTTGTTGTATAATCATGTTTTGGTCACACACCTACAATATAAAGGGAGCTACTATTTTTCTCAGTTAAAATTCAAACAAAAGTCCATAATTTTCTGTGAGAAGCTATGACATCACAATAAAGACACTGATCAGGATTTTTTTTCTTTCTGGCATTTAGATTTTTTTTATTTGAAGCTCTTTTAATGTCTTTGAAATATTTAATAAGAAATGCAGTTACTATTAAATATGCAGTTATTAGCCACAGATAGTACTTCTCATTGTAAATAAAAGTTATTTTCCCAGCACCTACTTGCTCCTTAAATGTTATTTCAAAAATCCATTCTGTATGATGACACTGTTCTTAGGATTTTACTTTTGGAATCCAAATAACAATAATGTTCCCTTTCTCCCCATGAAACGCACCTGTTAGGAGCCCTGATGACACAGAAAGAATTCTCAAGGTCTCCTAGAGAAAATACTCCATCAACTTTACGGCCAACGTGAGATTTTGAAGAAGGGAAGACAAGTGCAACCGGTTGAGGACGGCGCACAGAGGGCTTCTAAATTCTTCTGCAGTTTGTAGTGCTACAGATAAGTTTTTCCATGGGGCAGTCCAACCTCTGTTGCTGCAAGACCTGTTTTTTTTTTTTTTTAAACAAGTCAGTAAACTAACTGGAACTTCTGTTAAGTCTTGTGACTCTGTATAAATGGGTGCAGATTTAACTTGACACGTTAATTTCTTTCTAGAAAACAATTTATATTCATAGAATCATGGAATCCCAGAGAGGGAAGGGCCTTTGCAGTCAGCCGGTCCAAACACCAATCTCGTGCTCGTATTGTTCATTTCAAAAGCAGTCTGTGTTCGAGAGCAGCTGCGCTCAGACCCCAGAGGCTGGTATTTTGCACGTTCTCTGTCCCGTCAGGGTCGTTCAGGATGAACATCACTCGGTGGTGATTATTTTTGCTGGGTGGTACGGACAGATTCTGAGTGATAGGTTGGTAGTTTGTGAGGATTAGGGATTTTGAAAAATACTCTTTATAAAGAGACATCCCAATGTTATTATTTTCATGTCTGTGTGAGGAGTCCTAGGCCTAGAAAGACCAAACGGGCACAGCTTGAATCCAGGCCAGGGAGCTCCAAAGCCTACGCTCTGATGCTCTTTCTGGCAAACCACACTACTGGGATATTTTAACAAACCCAAGAAAGAATGAGGGAAAATAAGTTTTTTGTTTTTTGTTTTTTGTTTTTTGTTTTGAGACAGAGTTTTGCTCTTGTTGCCCAGGCTGGAGTGCAATGGCACAATCTCAGCTCTCTGCAACTTCCACCTCCCAGGTTCAAACGATTCTCCTGCCTCAGCCCCCCGAGTAGCTGGGATTACAGGCGCCTACCACCACACCCGGCTAATTTTTTTGTGATTTTTGTAGAAACAGGGTTTCACCATGTTGGCCAGGCTGGTCTTGAATACCTGACCTCAGGTGATCCTCCCACCTTGGCCTCCCAAAGTGCTGGGATTACAGGCGTGGGCCACCATGTCTGACCTTTTTTTTTTTTTTTTTTAGACAGGGTTTCACTCTGTCACCCAGGCTGGAGTACAGTGGGAGGATCTCAGCTTACTGCAGCCTCAACCTCCTGGGATCAAGCAATCCTCCCACCTCAGCCCCAACAAGTAACTGGGACTACAGGTGTGCGCCACCATGCCCAGCTAATGTTTGTATTTTTTGTAGAGATGAGGTTTTGCCATGTTGCCCAGGTGGGTCTCAAACTCCTGGACTCAAGCAATCAGCCCACCTCTGCCCCACAAAGTGCTGGGATTACAGGTGTGAGCTAAGGCAAAACAACTTTTTAAAAAATAGATTAAAATGTATTATTAGCATGGAGAACTAGAAACTGATTTTTGGGGGGTCACCCAGTAGCTACAGATATCTACCTTCCCTGCCCCATATTTCTACATTTTTCTTTTCTCTATATAAAAGTCTATACTTTCAAAAAATTCCAGCATGTAGTTTTATTTTCGGTCTCCCCTAAATATATGCAGATTTGACAGATCCCTTTGCCAGCCACCCATGAAATCAGATGAGTAATTTCAAATTGCAGGGCTGGAAAAATGACCAGCACAGAATAAAGACATGAGCTGGCAGCTACACAAGACAGATCTCAAAAACGAGGAGCAGTAGCTGAGAGGCTAAGAGAATCTGTCCTAGCCACAAGCGCTTGGAAAACGGAGGAAGCTGAATCAGGTAGATTGCTGTGAGTGGGAGATTAGGGAGAAATTAAATCTTGGAGTGCCCAGTAACTGTTTGGTGTCAGGTCTTGACAGAACGCAAGCTCCCACATGCCTGGTGACCACATTAAGACAGTCCTGGCTTAGGTTGCAGGAACAAAAGAGAGAAATCTGATGTCAGAATAAAGGCCTGATTGGCAAATTAAGCTGAATCAAGGTGAAATGACAGTACGGCAGAAACTTACTTGTAATTCACCTTCCTTTAGTCTACACTCCCAAATCTTACACATGCGCAGTAAAATATTTTTTCACTAGGAACTGTTGTGCTGATTTTATAGAAAACACATGGAAGACGGATCCCAGAGAGGGAGAGGAAACATGACAGTGATGAAAAGGAAAACCAGGTCCGTGACTAGGGGCAACCAGACGTTACCAACAGCAGCATCGGGAGGTTTCTGTTCGACGGATGATTCATTTTTATCCAAGAATTAAACAAAGGAACATCAGATTTTATTTTTGAACATTGGAGTTTATGATTGTTTCCTTCCGATAACAGCTACTTCATTCATGGTCCACCCATCCATCATTTGGTTCTGTTGAGCTCAACTGGGTTTTCCTTTTCCTTAACATTTTACATTTTGTTGAACAGAAAGGTGAAGAGAATAGAAAAGTAACCATAATTAGAAACAGGTATCTATGTACCTGCTACTTACTGGAGCTGATTAATATTGACATTTGGCCATATTCACTTCAGAGCTTTTAAATGTTTTGTTGTCGTTGTTGTTGTTGTTTATGGTTTTGTTGTTGTTGTTGTTATTGTTATTTTTTGAGACGGAGTCTGTCTCTGTCGCCCAGGCTGGAGCCAGTGGCATGATCTCGGCTCACTGCAACCTCTGCTTCCCGGGTTCAAGCAATTCTTCTACCTCAGCCTCCCAAGTAGCTGGGACTACAGGCATGTGCCACCACGCCTGGCTAATTTTTGTATTTTTAGTAGAGACGGGGTTTCACCATATTGGCCAGGCTGGTCTCAAACTCCTGACCTCGTGATGTACCCACCTCAGCCTCCCAAAGTGCTAGGATTATAAGCATGAGCCACTGTGCCCAGCCCTAAATGTATTTTTAAAAATAAAGATAAGATAAGGCTCCATGGTTTCTTACCCTGTACTAGTCTCCTTTTTTACCTCCCCAGAGCCAGTCTCTATCATGAATTCAGTAGGTTTCCTTTACCAAGTTGTCATACCTGTTAAAATATATATATATGTATGTATATATGCAGTATACACATAGATACATCACAGAATATTGTCTTGTTACTATTTTTTTTCTTTTTTTCTTTTTTTTTTTTTGGAAACAGGGTCTTGCTGTGTCCCCCAGGCTGGAGTGCAGTGGCTGGATCATCTCTCACTCCAACCTCCGCCTCCCCAGCTCAAGCGATCCTCCCACCTCAGCTTCCCAAGTTGCTGGCACACACCCCCAACTGGCTAATTTTTTGTACTTTTTGCAGAGACATATGTTCCCCAGGCTGGTCTCAAACTTCTGAGCTCAAGCCATCCGCCCACCTTAGCCTCTCAAAGTTTTAGGATTACCGGTGTGAACCGCTGCACCTGGCTTTGTCTTATTACTTTTTAAATTATTTACTTTTAGCATATTGTAGATCTTAATCCGTAGCCACATCATAGTATAGGCATTAATCTACAACTTTCTATTTTTCAGCCAACCCATTTTGAAATCCAGTTTTCTACATCATATGGAGACCACACTAGTTTTGAGAACTTTAAAACAGATGATTCCCATAGGGCAAATGTTGCTATTAGGTAATAAAAGATTCAGGTGATGAGTATTATGGACAAAAGTAAGACATTAACTGCACCTCACAGAGTATCATGAGGATCTCTGATTGATCAAATTAAAAAATAAAATTTAAGAAGCAACGAGTACTAATCAGCCTTGATATGTTTGTTATGAAGCTATTTTATTGAAATAAAAGTGCTTTGAAGATGAAAAGCACATTTTTTTTCTTTCCTAGAATTAAATCATTTCATCCCTCCCTCAGGCTACAAAGTTCATTCAAGTAGAAAAAAGTAAATGCTCCAGTTCTTTTCTTTTTTTTTTTTCTTTTGAGATGGAGTCTCGTTCTGTCACCCAGGCTGGAGTGCAGTGGCATGATCTTGGCTCACTGCAACCTCCACCTTCCCAGTTCAAGCGATTCTCCTGCTTCAGCCTACTGAGTAGTTGGGATTACAGGCACCTGCCACCATGCCCAGCTAATTTTTGTATTTTTAGTTAGAGACAGGGTTTCACCATGTTGGCCAGGCTAGTCTCGAACTCCTGACCTCAAGTGATCCGCCCGCCTTGGTAGTTCTTTTCTTATGGAGTTTCAGCTGACTTATATTAAGGCTTGCTTGCTTTCTCTTTTTATTTCTGACCACAGTTTGTAACTTCCCTGCACTGAAAGATGCTCTTTTTTCCACCGCTTAAAGCATGCAAAGTAATGGTCCAGAGGGAGGGCTCATTAACTTTTTTTATTTTTTTTCCTGTGGTTTCCTCTCATTATTTCATTGCCTAGGCAATATTTTTTAAAAGACCTCATGCTGGTGAATAGAAATTGACATAAAAGAGCATAACAACTTTTTTGGAGTCTCAAGGTCTGTGATGTAAACACCCCAATTTGTTTTTCAAAGGTTTTCTTCATCCATTGTATAAATACACATATTTACATAATTTCCAAAACATGTGCTTTGCAGCCACAGTCCTTTCAGCGTTATCTATTAATAAGGGTCACATGTAGATGTGGATTTGCAAGCTTGAATTCCAACACGTCACTTTGTCATTTTCAAATTTTGTGAGCGCTGGAACTTAGTGGGCAGACTTCCCCATCTCGCTTCAAGAAAACATCCGAAGGGTGTCATCCACTTTGGAAGGAACAAGACACCCGAGTTTTGATAAACTTGACCTCTGTGGGATTATACCAGAGAGGGAACTGAAGTGAGATGGGCGTTGTAGGCACTGAACTCTAAGCTTGTCCTTCTAAGGTAACACTTGCAATTCTTTCTATGATGCACTTTTTCTTTTGTCCCCTAACTTCTGACGAAGGCCATGGGTATGTCAGTGGAAGTCAAAGGTAGCACATAGGTCATTGGAGAAATGGAGGGTATTTTCTATATTCGAGTGGTTTTCAGTGGGCTTCATCTACCCTTGCTTGAGGCGGCAGAGCTTAGAGAGGATGGGGGGAGTTTAGAGGTGGGGACAGGGCTGCCAACAGTTTGAGTTTTGCTTAACTTTGGCTTGCTGGAAGGCAGAGCACCTGAAGGAGACCTCTCTGGGTATTTCCAGACCTCTCTGGGTATTTTGTGGCCAAAATCAAAGAACAAGGACGCCCAGAGACCCTTTGGTCAAGCCCTCTGTGACACCTTCACAGGACATTTTCCTTGGCCCTCTGTCAGTTTCTCTAGTAAGAATCTTTTTTATTTTTTGCTTCAACAACCTAGGTCATTTGCTGGTATCTCCTAGGCTTTCCAATTCAACAGAAGGGTCTTCTCTTGACCCTCAGAGCCATTTTCATTTTTTACTATATTGAATTTCTTTTGTACATTACTTTTTATTATCGCTTCTCTTATTGCAATGTGTCTTACTAGTGTTTTCTCTGCATTTTCATCTTTAAAAGAATTAAACAGAGAAGAGTAAGAATAAGGGGAAGAATTTCAAACAAGGGAGGCCCGAGGCCAGTTTCCCCACAGTGAGCTCTGCCCTACTGAGTTCTTCCCTGCCTGTCAGGAGATCTCTCATTTCAGTTTCAGATGGTCCCCTTGACCTTGAAGACAGCCCTCTGGGAAAAGCTCTTAGTCTTACACCTAAAATTATTATTCTTGGCAGCTCAGTGGGGAAAGAGGCTGAAATATTCTCCCTGGGGAGCTGTAACCCCAGCCCCAAAGATGGCTTAGTGGGGCCTATAACACTCTTATCTTCAGATGATTAGGCTTGCGAATTAAAATTCTTGATTTCTCATATGCATAACTTTCTCACACTGAGGTGACTGGGGGGAGTTCTGGGTAGTGTCCCTCTATCCCTCCAGATCCACTTTCCCCTCTTCTCCTTCCATTCAAATCAGGCCTTTGGAAAGCTCAAGGTAGGCAAAAGTATATCCTTAAACATCCAGCCCCTTGATACCATCGTCATCCTCATCGTGAAACCTTTATCAAGCACCTGGACTCCTACAATACAAAGAAGTACGAGGGGCCATCCCTGCCCCAAAGGTGTCTCGAATGACTTGTGACCACAGGACACACATCTATTAGCATAAAATGAAAAAATAGCTTGAAGGAGAATTATGTGGGCAATAAATACTGCAGGAGTTCAGGGAAGGGAGAAAAGACTGCAGCTGGGGGTAGACAAAAGTGATCTCATCAATGACATGGGTTTTGGGAAATGGCAGGCTTGAGACTAAGTCCTATCATTGCAGCACTTTAGGAGGCCAAGGCCGATGGATCACTTGAGGTCAGGAGTTCGAGACCAGCCTGGCCAACATGACGAAACCCTGTATCTACTAAAAATCCTGTATCTACTAAAAATACAAAAACTAGCCGAGCATGGCGGCACACGCCTGCAGTCCCAGCTACTTGGGAGGCTGAGGCAGGAGAATCACTTGAACCCAGGAGGCAGAGGCTGCAGTGCCATTACACTCCAGCCTGGGCAACAAGAGCGAAACTCTGTCTCAACTCACTTTCTGTCTCCACATCTCAGTTCCTCTGCTTGTGAAGTGAGTCTCAGAGGGGTAGCTGATCTTTGAGGCCACGTGGAACTCTCAGGTGCTTTGATTCTACCGAAATCATTGAGTGCCACTCTGCTATCCAACAACACAATAAAATGGTTCATGTGCCATTTGTTGGCACCAAAGGTCTACATTGTTTTGAAAACCCTTGCCTCCAAACACCCAAAAAATAAATTTTCTGAGGTAAACAAGATGGCATGATTTGCCTAGGACAAATTTGGTTTCCTTCTAACACTTCTTATAGATTCCAGTAATTTTTAGATTTCGGTTTTTGCTTAAGTTCAGAAGTAGAGCCATTTCCAGTCCAAGTTGGGGAGCCCTAAATGGGTATAGAAACAGCAGCAAGGCAGAAAGACAAGTAACCACCTACTTGCTCTAGCTAAATACTGCTTTACAATTTATGTTTTATTCTTCTTACCACTAATGCAAAGTAATAACTTCATTCAACAAATATTTACCATGTATCTACTCTGTTCTCGGTGTTGTGGCAGAGACGTTGGTAGACACCAAAGACCAACTATGGCCTTCCAGAGTCTGTCTTGACATATGGAAACACAATCATCCTGAATCCTTAGACCATTAGCTAATGATTTACAAAGGCTGTTCTTCAGAGGTTTATGTCCCTAGAGCAGATGCCTACACACAGGAGGTCCTGGGTAAATGTTTCATTGATGAAATGATGGACGCCGTATTAGTTCATTTTCACACTGCCCATGAAGACATACCTGAGACTGGGCAATTTACAAAAGAAAG